GGTCATCAGCTCTAAGGTAAAGAAAGCCATGTTTCAACCTTAGGCTATTTAATCTGGTCGTTTAAGGTTTCGTTAAGGATATGATTGGCAATCATCATTTGACCATTATTTAGAAATATTTCATATCCACATTTTAATCTTGATTTTGACTTTCTGCCATTTCCTAATCTAAGAAAATTTAGCTTATAGAAAATTTGAATAATGGTCAGTAAGTAGGCTTTTTCTAACATTTAATTTGGTAAAACCTTTTAAACTCATAACGAACTAAATTACTATATCACAATAAGAAAAAGATATGATTTATCTTCCTGACGCAGGTGTATTCTGCTAGACATACTGATAATTTATGAAATAGGTTGTATTTGCATATATTCCTGGTTCTTGAGAGTGTTTAATGAAATAGATTTAGTTCGTATTTTTGTGAATTCTCCAATTACAAATGAACGCTTAATTTCTTAACCTAATTTTAATTTATTTTTGGTTGTGTAGTAAGAATTATAATTGCCACTGTCCATCAACTGAATTGTTTGTTTGAAGTTATGCACAAAGCCACACAATGGGCTATCTGTGCTCTGCCCACCACGGGTATCGAAACCCGGTTTCTGGCGTTGTAAGTCCGCAGACATATAGCTGTGCCACTGGGGGGGGGGCATCAAGTGAAACCAAATATTATAATTTCAATACAGACATTTTAAGATATATTTTTGTTAAAAGTTACACTTGCTGAGCTAAATTTAGTTTTCTATTTTTGTATAAAAAGATAATGTAAAAGATATTAACAACAGTGCATCAGGCACATTTCCCGAGATCCTATTTTTGTATCGGCAAAATTGGTATCGAGTCATTTAGAAAATATTATTACTTAGACACAGAAACATATCTCAAACATCTAGATGACTAATAATTAAGTGGTATATATATATATTGTTGACTCGTTTGTTTACGCTGATTAACAACTCAAAACTATCTTTCTCTATATTTTTTAACATTGTAAGGGATGAAGATACAAGTAACAACGACACCTTGAAACGTTTTTCATACAAATATTTGCTATTGTGATTTGAGATTATTGGCATTTGAATGAAATAACGAGACGCCTGTTTGTTATTTACGCACTTTTATTGTTTTTTTTTATCTTGTTCTCAATACGACAGAAAAACTCTTCTGGCTTAATAAGAGCAAGGAACTTTGGAAGAAAAAAATTAGTTAACAAATCGGTTTTTGTTTGCTCGAATTTTTTCAAAAATAGATTTCACAAATTATTTTGCAACAAATAGGCACTTCTTTATTTTTTAAAAGTGAAGAAGGATATACAGAGAACTCCTGATACTGTCACTTAATAATAAGTCCTCACATCAATGATAAATTTAGCACACTTTTCTTGAGTTAACATTAAACATAGCAGGCCAAGGTGACTTATATATGCAATAACATCGTAAAGTAGGCTTAACACATCCAACCAAACAAAACTTCATATTGTGAGGCACGAGCTACATCAGCGCAATAACAAAGTAAAGTTGGCTTAACACATCCAACTAAACAAAAGTTCATATTGTGAGGCACAAGATACATCCGCTTATTCAGAATATATAAACATACGGCTTAGAGATTCATGGATCCTTCTTCCTCAAAAATATTACCATAATTTTTTTTCATTCAAACTACATTATTTCATCTGATATTCAATAAGGGTTAGTTCACTTATCATAATAACTTTAGTTCATTTGCAGGGAGTATTTTTTGCTGATTTTTTCTATCAAATTTTTATATACCTCAAGATTCCTGGAAATTCTATTATTGTCTTTTCAGCTTTTTTTTTGTTATTCTCTACTTGAAATTCGTTATTCAAATGTCCTTGCTTATGGATATACACATGCTCTAATATATTTCGAATGTTTTTTACTAATTTGTCAGAATCGTTAAAATTTCTACCGTTTTCTCCTTGTTTTTCCGACTTTTCTTACAAAGTAGAACTTTTTCGTTTAAAAAAAAAGAAACTTCTATTTTTGTCTTTATTCACTTAAGCCCCGAGACACCATTTCATTTTCTGCTCCTATTTGCATACGATTTTGAAGCACGAAGTCTGTTTACGTCACTCCACTGCTGGCGAGAATAGTTCCAAAACTTTCTCAAACGGGAATGCTTACCACCAAACCATGCCATCTCTACGAGTAAAATGCAAAGTCCTCCAACAGACCCAATTAGATATGCAAAAAAAGCACTAGTTAGATCGGTGATAATCAGGGGTCGCTCTTGTGCATTGAAGATCGTTTGGCTTCCTAATGCACATGGCTCCACAGTAGGCATGTACTGATTCTTCCATTTTTCAATTAAACCTGTTGTTCTCAGCCTTTCTATACTGTGAATCACAATTTTGTTAAAATAGCGAGTTATAGGTTATCAAATTCAGTAATTTTATAAACTTAGGTGGTATATAATTAGTTAAAAGTTCAAATATAATATAAAAGTCTTATTTCAAATAATCGTAAAAAATATATAACATATTATACAGTGTTGGGAATAATTATGAAAACATAGTAATGCAGATACAGTAGTCACAAACGTTAAGTATTTGTAACTAAGTGGTCAATGTATCATTAGTACAATACATTATTACAGAAAATACAAAAGAAATATTACACCTGTTGTCAAGACTGCTTACTTCTATTACTTTGGTTGTCATCTTGGGGATCAAAATAAGAGTTGAGCACCACACATTTGCTGCAATTCTTGTGCAGTAAGTCTGAGAGAATGGTTTAATTGTAAAAGTAAGAGCATGCCATTTGCAGTACCTGTGATTTGGCGTGAAACCAAGAACCATTTAAGTGACTGTTATTTCTGTCATTCATTATAACTGGAATCACAGCAAAGAATAAGAACAAAGTTCCTTATCCAGATGTGGATTCAGCTATTAAGCTAGTTCCTCATAATGAATAACTTCTAGTTCTCACACCACCAACTGACAAAAAAATGATATCCGAGTCTTCTGATGAATCATCACCACATGGGAATGACACAGATGATGAAATCTATCCTCCTAAATCCAATGAACCTCACATCCTCAACCAAGATGATCCAAATGACTTAGGAAGAGATTTGTATCTATCCAAGTTACAGACTGAACTGCTGGTATCCAGATTAAAAGAGTGGTGCACGGATCTCATTAAAAATATATTTTTGCACAGTCATTTAGAGTTTTTGTCTAATAATCTTGGTGATGTCTAAGATGAGCATGGTGAACGTTTTCACCAAGATATTACGAGAATGGAGAACTACCAGGGTAGATGGAACCCAGCTATGATGGAGGATTACTGCTGGATGCTCAAGCTTCAAAGTGACTCAATATTCAAGCGGAAGTCACAAAAAAACCCACTTTTAACAGTTTTTAAATCCTGCTTTGTAATAGTTTTATTTATAGAATACGGTACAATTTAATTCTTAATTATATTTTCATATTTTTTTTCTTAGGTAACGACCTATCAATGATGGCAAGCTATCTGGTATATGAGTTTCAAGGCAGGGGTACAGTATCTCAAAAACCTTACCCGATATGAAAAAAACATTATGATTTTCGTCATTTACGCCCCGAAATTAGTTATTTCTATAAAAGATGCAGAGAAAACGTTTTTTTTTGTTTCCCAGTGTTATCAACAGTACCAACTTCTCGTACACTTTTCAGTTTCCAATCATATTTTTCCGAAACATGAAATTTTTGCTAAAACATTCTAAAATCTCTATCCTGGGAGCCATGAGTATCCAACACTACTACTGTATTTTTATAGCCACTCTAGTGTGGCATTGTCTGATTGGTTAACACATGGCTACAGTCAATAATAGTTACGTTTAAACCCGTTGCACCTACTGTTTCCATATTTATTTCCGACACTGTAAATACAATGACTATATACATATCTAACTCTTCAGGCTCTTATGTTTACGTTTTTACTGTTGTTTAATTACCATAATGGGCTATTAGCGTTCTGTACACAGTGGGGAAAGGAAACCTGGATTTTAGTGTTGTATGTCATTAAAGTTACCGCCGACCCCCTCAGGGGATATTTGACTTATTATATACATATAGTTGAAACAGTTTGTAAGGACTCATATAGAAGTGTGTTTTTACTACTACGTATAAAGCGCAAAATTTTTTTTTAAATACTACAAAACAAAAAAGGACAAAATTTATTAGTACATTCCATATCGATTTTCTTTATCTTCTGTGAACGCATTAGTAAGTTGAGAAAATAATGTGTTTTAGATGTAATTAAGTTTGAAGAATAATATCTTAATTTTACAGAATGTTTATGATAGAATCATCTTATAAATGCTACTTAATATTTCAAAAATGTTGCGAATGATATTTCTCCTACTCTTTTTAACCTTCCATTGCACAGGTTATACATCTATTTTTGTTGCTTAATACACATACAAATGCTTTAATTCTGTAGTTGAATGGTCTTACTTCCAGTTAGCAGTCTAAATAAACCATTGTATACTTTTATTGGTTCCTCAAATGAACAAGGTTATTTCTAGGTAACGTACCCTTTTATGTATTACCAAAATAGATTTCACAGAAAGAAAATTTTTGTGCAATATAGACCTATTTAAGCGATAAATAAAGCAAAAATTCCCCTCATATTCATTATGCGTGCAATAGAGGGTTACAATAACAAACACATGAAGTTGGGTATACTTAAATCAGTTATATTAAAACCCGAAGTGTGATATTGTAAAATTAGTGCTTCACATGTTAATACACAAAAAATGAATCCCCAAGTAAGTTAGCGGTAAGTTTACAGAAATACAACGTTAAAATTCGGGGTTCGGTTCCAAGCGGTGGACAGAGCACATTGTGTTTTGTTCGACATTAAATAAACAAAGACATAAAGTCACATTAAAAAATTGTGATATGACTGGAAATAATAAAACAAAAATGTTTAAATCATGGAAATAGGCATGTTGGTGTATTCACAACTGAAACCTGTAAATGTATATTGGACTTACAACTCGTTGAAGGCGAAGGCATATGGACTCCCTTTCGGATAGGCAAAACCAAAGGGTTTTTCAAAGAAGTTTTGATTGGCAAGCGCTAAAACACATTTCCCATTGGATCGTTGGTAGCTTTCTAGTAACAAGTATTTAAGAGATAACGTTTCATGGAGGTAAACATAACCTATAAAATGAAAGCAATGTTTCATGAAAGTTATCATAAACTAGAAAATAGAAGTAAAGTTTCATAGAGGTAAACATAATCTATAAAATGAAAGCAATGTTTCATGAAGGTAATCATAAACTAGAAAATAGAAGTAAAGTTTCATGGAGGTAAACATAACCTATAAAATGAAAGCAATGTTTCATGAAAGTTATCATAAACTAGAAAACAGAAGTAAAGTTTCATAGAGGTAAACATAACCTATAAAATGAAAGCAATGTTTCATGAAAGTTATCATAAACTAGAAAATAGAAGTAAAGTTTCATAGAGGTAAACATAATCTATAAAATGAAAGCAATGTTTCATGAAGGTAATCATAAACTAGAAAATAGAAGTAAAGTTTCATAGAGGTAAACATAACCTAGAAAATGAAAGCAATGTTTCATGAAGGTAATCATAAACTAGAAAATAGAAGTAAAGTTTCATAGAGGTAAACATAATCTATAAAATGAAAACATTATTTCGTCAAGGCAAACATAAACTTGCAAATGAAAGGATATTTCTAGTAACCGATGCTTAAATTAATATAATCTCAGGTATATGATCTCCTGGAATGTATTTTGATAAAGCTATTTATATTTCTTAAAATTTCTTGTCGTAAATAACTAAAAACACGTCACACATAAAAGACAGGAAAATATAACTGGAGTACAAACAACACAAGTGTGTAAATGGTCGATCAAAAAAGTTGCGCGAAATGTTTCCCGTGAATTTTCATAGCAGATAATTTAGTAGTATGAATACTGTGAATTTAGTATTTAAGGTAAGGTAGTGACGATTAAATATCAATCATTGTCACGTTTAGTAGTTTATACGATTACCAAAGTTAATAATAATTATTTAGTTACTATTTTTATTACTAGGCACAAATCACTAATTAAATTGTACCCTGTATTTCGATCTCTAACTTGCTGTCGTCTTTAGGAGAATCCTGAAAATTATTGTTTTTTTTTTATGTTAGTAAGAGCTAGGATTCTACTTAATGGAAAGTTGGTATTCTATTTACTCATCCGGCGTCGTCTCATTAAGACTTGAATCAACTAACAGGTTTTGAGAACGTCTATGCTATATTGGCTGTGTTATCAGTCAGTTGAATGTAGAAACGTAGTATATTTTTCTTATTCTCACACACGGTTCATATCCCATTTGTTAATATTTCACTGTATGTATCCCTTTCTGGTCTAGCATGATGGGCTATTGCAAATAAATTGATAATACAACGTCTTTTATGTCTATTATACTCGTCAACTTTTGCTTTTGTTTATCTTTTTATTTATTCAACGTATTAGAAGCCCATATTCATAAAGAACGTTCGAAACGGTATTTTTATCTTGTATCGAGATTGAAGTGGTTTGGTCTGCATTAGCTGCAATAGTATTGCTTCTGATTACTACTTTGACTTTATTCTTTTCTTTGTACTTTTACAGAAAAACCATTTACATATGGAAATATTGTTTACTGTGTGTAATTTTCTTCCTGCTTGTTCATTTTTTCTTTCTTTTCTACTTTATCAGAAGTTCAAGGTATCCATTGTCAAGTAAGATAGTAGTTGTGTTTTTCTTCCTTCTTAATTTCTTCCGTATTATAAATCTTGCTCATTTTAAAAACTAGACAATCTATGACGCCCATCTTTACACTGTTAGGTTGGTTTGACTTGCAGATGAGTTACCACTATCTGTGAGATCATATAAGTTCCCGTGGTATTTTAGTTATGTTTATTGATAACTGTCATGCATAGAAATTGAAGTTTGCTTTCTTTTTCTGTTTTAGTTGTGATTTATTTCACTGGACGTTACTTGTTCGTGTGGTTCGTGAAGTCTAGTGTCTTGTTTTTGGTTTGAGACCATGTGAATAACGACTGTATCGTTGATAAATCTCAGCCAAATGCTAGGTCTTAGAGTACTGGAGATAGGGTGAAGCCATGGCTAAGCTTTCTTGTTTTTCGTAGTATTTATCTTCATGTTAGAATTAGGTTGTGATGATACAAAAGGTTATGAGTTCTATTATCATATCCAACCTATTCATTAACTGAAGTTCTACAGATATTCAGGAGCCAGCTTCAATATAGTAGAAGTCTCTAGGAACGCATCTAACTGACAGTCTCCACGATAAATTACTAAATTATCCAAACAGATTAGATTTTAACATTTAATTAATAGCGTTAAAAATAAACTTAGATAAAGTAAGGAATTAAAAAAGCGCTGTTATTATTTGTACGATACACTAACACACTAGTTATTCGTTACTAAAGCACCTCGATACACTTACACAATACTCTTCCGTTACTAAAGTACGTATTGCTAGAGATATTTATAGATATTCTAAAATTAATAATTTAATAAAATTCTTTATACAGCTTATTTGCGAAGCTTTCAGAAACTATTAAACTATCACGAATCCTTCCGTTCGAGATTTAAATGACCAGCAAAAACCAAATTCTGTGAGTTTTTTCACCTATCCTTCTCTTTAATGACGTGAGTTTTGAGTATCTTTAGTAATAAGGATATCTCTTGTAGTTGTCCCATGGAGTGATCATTCAGAAGCAGGGAAGTTATAGGCTATAATATTTTATAAAACAATAATTTAAAACTATATGATTATAGGTAAATGTTGACTTGATAATTTTCCCGTTTACCAGTGACTGGTTCAACATAGTAATAAAACAATGGAATATAAAAGAATCGTACTGTTAATCTAACGTTAGATCGTGTTATTTAAACATTTTCGTATATTTATCATATAAACATAAAAAAAGCTTTGAGACAAGTAGAATATTAAAGTAAGACAAAAAGTTTAATTACTATGTATATGTATATATATGATTTAATAAAATTGGGAATAATTATTTGAATAATGATAGTTAGTAAAATGTTGTAATCGTCGCCAGATTTTCTAAACTCGAAATAAAACAAATAATCCTACTATTTTTAATAAATGTAGTATTAATGGAATAAAGGCTAATATATCAAAGAAGTTGATTATTTTGGGGAGTTTTAAATCAGGATAAACCACAAACTAGTTGAAATAGTCACTCAAACCACCTTTTAAACTTTATAAAACATTCAAATCACTCTCATAAAACGGAGTTATCATGGGCAGATTTGTATCATCTAACCTTACTATTGATTTCAAATGAACTATTGGTTGGATTATCACAGAGTTTCCACGATATTAAAGTTATTGTCTAAGCTTTCAGTGAAGCAAATTTCATAGATGATATTGATTGCTGTTTATCATATCTGATATCTCCAAGTTTGCTAACTTCCTTTTTAAACCTTTGGTGTCTGGTAAATGTATTCCATTCAGTATTGTTAAACATGCGAGATGAGGTATGCTCATTTTTACACTTTTGTGGCTTTTTGAACTATTTTGTTTCACCCTATACACATTAGTGTAAGAGAAAAACGGACTAAAACGTGATCAGGACACTTGACAAATTAAAATAAAACTTTGGGTCCTACGATATTCCCATGAGATCCAGTTGAGTTACACAATTGGGTAATCTATTCGACAATTTTGTTTGTGTTCAAGCCATAGCTTGAGAATTGAGACAATGGATATGCGCCGTTTGGAAAATCTGTTCCATAATCACCCAGTTTTACAGTACTTTTAATTCTATAAAGTCGTGTTTAAAACCAGTAAAGCACAGAACTGATGTGTTTGTATATTATATCGTAAACGTACTTATTTATCAAATACTAATCTGAGATATTAGACACCTTGTACGGCCAGTTTTGATGTATCTATTAATATTCACTTTTAAGGTACCAATTCTGATGCTACACATACCTCCTTTCTCTATTAGAGATCTTGCTTCATAATCGCTCCTCAAGTGCTTTCCTTGACCCATTCTAAACGAAGATCTCAGCTTTTGAAATATTTTTCCATGGCCTTCCTGCATTGAAATAAAACATCAAGAAAATGTTATTTCTGAAAATAAATCTAGACGCTTTGAAACCTACAAAGATAAAACAAAATATATTGAAGTTTATAATGTGCAACGAAAGCTATATCTTTTCCAAAAGTATTAAGGCCAAATATTTTAATTGTGCTACTGCTTTGAGGTCGTAACAGATTCTGTTTCAGCAAGAATCTTCTAATCATATTTTATTGTTATCTGTCTTCTATCTAAAACTTAGGAACATTTCTTGCTCGTTTTGATGTTTTATTAAATATTAGAACTTCTAAAGCCTTCATTAGATTCAGTAGATGATGGTTTATTGACACTATAATAGATCTTTGAAATTACATGGCAAGTGGTCACTAGTAATAATTTTGTTTTTCTTTTATTAAATACATTACTTTAATTGGTTTTTGAAAAAGATGAAAAGTTATTTCTTTGTAGCTTCAAATGAAACTTAAAATATCGTTAACAGCGAGAGGGGGAGAGGTACTGAACTGATTATTAAATGCATTTTAATAATTTTAGTTCAAGTAAGTTTGTTATATAGAATTGACTAATTAATATTAAGTTTATCTTTACTTTAAATCTATATAGTTGAGCTTACTGTTGATCAGTAGCTCTTAATAACAATGAAATAAGAAATCAAAATTGATGAACCAATGACGACAGATGATTCAAAACAACAAGGCTTATCACTCGAAAATGTAATTCTTATTTAATATGTATTCTTTGTAGTTTGTTTTTTCTTTATAGTTCGACCATCATTTAATTACCCAGTACTTACTTCTATAGCTGCATCAAGAGCGCCACCGTATTTAACTAGCCATGTAGTTTCTGAATGTTGCAGTAAAGTATCCAGAGACTTAATAGTTTTGTAATGTGGTAAAGTAAGAAAAGCTGTTAAATTGGCCGTATAAAAAGCAGTTACTATTAAAGTAAAAATCCACCAGGTGGCAAAGAGAATCCTCGTAGAATCATAAATTGGAGACAGCTCGCTTCCTAAGAAAAGAAGAAAAAAAAGGGTGATTTTGAAAAATGCCAACCCATTCTCAACAGCATGGTGAATAATATGCGTAATGTACTTTTAACTATGGAATGTATATAGATAGATTATTGTGTTAGACACTACAAAACAATTCATTAAAGAAAACTCAAAACATAAGTTAGTATTTAGGGGTGCAATTGAGGCGTACACGCTTGATTGGTTGATTCAGATGATAGGGGAGGGAGAGCTTGAGACTAGGAGATCAAGTGACGGCATATTTCCACAAAGTGGCATCAGAAGGCGTGTTGCTATGGTCGAAAAATGGGGGACCAAAGTGTAGGACGATAAGTTCATCTATGATACGTGGTTCGCGAACATGATACGTGGGCTATTAGTTGTTTGCGAACAAACCACTAGACAAAATTGTAGATCAATGGATATCAACATGTGACTATGTTATCAACGTTTATTTTTCACTGCAATAATAATCAAAGCCTTGAAAGTAATATATAATATAATTTGCATATGTGATGGATTTATTATTCTATATATATTTTAATATCGATATTTTTTAAATCAAATGACATGTACATAACGTATACTGTTAAATATGTATTGCGAAAATCCCGCCTATTCTCTAAAGTTGTAGAAGATTCTAGATTGTAAGAATTAACAAAATATGTGTGTACGTAAATGTAGTGTAGCTTTGTATTGTTACGTAACCTGAATTTTCGAGAAAATCTCCACATGCCTATAAATATAACCAATGCGACGCGCCAAAAAAGGAGTATATATTATTGGTTTGCTATAGTTGGTGTGCTATAAACTTCAGAAGCTATAACTGTGATTGTTATAACGCTTATTAATCGGAAAACTTAAGATATTTGAACGTTACAAACCATTTAACTTCATTGGATTCACATTGGACATTGGTACTTTTACGAAAACATTACCTAACATCACGATAGGAAAAACTTCGGCGTGTGATCAGCGAGAACTACAGGGCTAGCTAGCTCCCTGATAAGT